ATCAACCCATCAATTACGACCCCACGCGGTAGATACATGAGCTGGCAGTGATTTTGTGCAGTTTAAACCCGAACACCAGTCGCAAACCCTGGGCGCAGCAAACACCAACCCCCGGGCTTTTGGGGGAAAGGTAGCAAGACAATACCGCCGACTCACAGAGGTTTTTCTTCTCTGCTCGACGGCTGGCTGTTCGTTTTCATGCCGTGACGCCACCCACATCGCTTGCAGGTTTTGCTGCTCGCCATAGTGGCGACATCGCGTTGCAGGGCTTAGAATAATCGCAAACAATAGATTTGCCCAAAGCTTTGCTCCAATGCTGTGGGGAAACCAAAATAAACTGGAGTGTTGCACGTTTGACTTCTGCATCAAGCGACAAACATTTTCAGACTACAAACCAGCTGAAATTCAGTACTTTATCGTCGACAAGAGTTCGGGGAAACCAGATAACGCTCAACTGTTTGTGCATAAAAACTGAAAGGTATTAGACACATATACATATTTTTGTGCTCTAGCTAAAATATCCTTTATGTTACTTTTTTTAGAAAATCGATAAAATCAATAATCATTATATTCCTTGGTGTACAAAGACGGCAAAATTTCATAAAGAAAACCCTCGTTTAAGTGCACTATGAAGGTTTTTGGAGCAACGTCAGGGTGTGTAAGTCCCCCTAAGCCAACACTCACCCTAAAATCGTGTAAAATGGGGAATACTGGTGGTAATGGACGCTTTTCGAGTGGAAATTCACCTCGTACAAGCAATGCAGTGTGTGCAATAGAACATACAAAATTAGTAGAGTTCTGCCGCACTTGTGCTTTTAGGCCTTTATAACTCAAGGAAGTTGAAAGAAATATTGGAAAAAATAAACAACAAGTAACTCTAACTGAATAAAAGAGCTTACACAACAAAAACCATTGTAGACAACCCTGTGTATGTTTTCTATGAATGTAGTGATTAACACACTAAGGGTTACTTTTCACAATGATGAAATAACAAAGCAACTCAGGCCAGGCTATTTGTTTTGTTTTACTTTCTCAAACAACATGTATTCTCAGGCTAGCCTTTTAATTTACGGGAAATACAATAGCTTGAGGGAGACAAAGGACCAACGCATTTTTTTCCTCAGTCAAAACTGACTTCTTAGGA